AGAGATAAAATGGGACAGTTAAGCTTTTTGCCATCCTGATCCCAAGAGGATCAAACTCAGATCTCCCACCACCAAGAAAGCCCTACCATGAAAAGCCCCTCCTGCCCTCCTAGTGCAAGAGGGGCAATTCCTTACCTGGCATCAACCAGCCCCCTGAGCTCTCCCTCCTCAAGCACGGCTTCGGAACTTGGATATTCATCCAGTTGGAACAAAGTGCCCAGCTCACAAGAAGAGAAGACATCCAGCTCTAGCAGAGACCTAGCACATCACACCCTCTCTGAATTTCCTGTTCCTACTGGCCAGTTACAGCAATCCTCAGCTTGGCGCCCTGCCTGCTGTAAAATCTGCTTCCAGATGCCACGTGCTTCCCACACATTCAGTGGAAACCCATTAAACAGGGGAATTTCACCCAAGGGGATCCTTAGCATCAACAATCATGATGCTGACTGTCAACGTGCCCAAGCTCCTCTCTGTATTTGTTACCATTTTTAAAAGTCCCTGTCATTTTGAAAATTGACTCAAAAGCCTTACTATGGGGGATACAATGAGAAATGAGGTTGCAAAAAAGCCCTAAGCTTCAAATAGAAGAATTACAGAATTTAAGTGCAAAGGGAAGAAACTAAATGTCTAGAAAAGTCTCCTGCCCTCCCCCGAGCAGGTGAAGATCTGCACTGAAATTTGGTAACCTGGCTCACTCCACTGACATCCCATTTTAGTTTTACTGTTTCACTTAATTTTCAAGGAGGGATTTTCCAAGGCAGTTATCAGTGTGAATTCAACATCAATGCAACACATTTCCCCTGGAGAGGTTTCTAAATCAATTTTAATTCTGATAGGCTCAAGTAAATGTTTTCAATTTGATTCAATAATCCATACACACTTATAAAATGGCTTTTCCCCCATGTACTACAAGACAAACATGGTTTATGTTTGCAACAACTTTGGCTAATAAAAAATTCTAATTTCCTATCTTGAATTATACAGACACACAATTTTTATTCACTTCTTAATGAACCAGATGACATAAACAAATGAAATAAAATCAGCATTTAAGAGCATTAGTTGTATCATTAGATCTCTAAATGCTATAGCAACACATGATTTTTGGCAAACTCAAAAAAACCCACAAACCCTAAATCACAGAAAAGTCCTTAAATAGAGCTTTAGAGCTTTCTAAATCTACTGAGAATTTGTCATCATTTCCACTTAGAGAGCAACATGAAACCTCTTAAGGATGTCTTTTGAAATGTGAGCAAGTTCTCAAAAAAGGTAATTACAATAAAGTTACTACCAGGTATCAGCAAGAGTGGCATGAAGATTAGGGCTGGAGGTGAGGGATGGCAGAAATATAATCTCCTCCAATAGCATCTACTGTACTGCAAGCTCAAAAAATGGAATAAAGTGTAGAAAGGACGGACTGTGGAGGTCAGGGTGAGACATGGGCCTTCAATGGGCAAGAATCTTCACAGTAAAGGGAACAAAAAATGACAATCTGAGGACGAAGGGAAGTGCCTGGCTCACCTCCATTTCTATAACTGTATTTCCAAGTCAGCTAAAACTCTGACCCCCTTGCTGGGAATATGACTAGGCAGTGTTTCCAGATCCCATCAAACTCTGGATCCTTAAGATCAATACTGACTGAACAAAAAGCAAAATTCATACTTGATTTTTCAACTGCCTGCTTTTAAGATTATCCAGATGATAATGTTAATATACAAAATTACAGTTTGATATTATCATGTTAATATTGAACTTACCTACAGTACATTAGGAGTTTCTCAGCTGCGACTTTGTAAATAGCAGCTTCTGAGAGGGTTTTGTATTTATGTTTTTGTCCTACCCATAGTAACAATCCTTTAGTGTTGGAACAGGATATTGTCCTACAAACCAGCTCAGATGACAGCTGAGAGAGACTGGAGAGTTGACTGTGACTAGAAAGCTCAGGGCTATAAAAACACTGTGTCTAAAGAGAAGTGTTTCAGAGAGAACTGCTTTGCATATGACTACAAAAAGAGATGTGTCCCCAGAACATAAAAGAAATATTTGGTAAAATCTTTGCATGCCCACTGTCATTTGCCCCCTTTGCAGCAGAAATCAAACTATTTCCCTGTCACCCCACAGTCAGTAGCCAATGCAATAGAGCCTAAAAGCAGTTATAAGAAACCCTAAAGGAACTTCAAACACACATTCCACCCCACTGCAGGGAGTTAGTCCATCCCAGCAGCAGGACTTTGCATTCACACTCACTGATTAATCATGAGATTCCTCCTGGACCTTCCCTCTAACCTCTCCAGGTTATTAAATTGTTAACTAATGACATTACAGTGGTTTTAACTCAAGGTAGGCACTATAACAGAAATGTACAAATCACATCATCTGAATAACCATAATTTTCTTTTTGGCGATTGTACTCAAATAAGCTGCTTGCATTTATCTGACATTTTATCATATTTTATATTCATATACTTTACAAATCTTAGGAATTAAGCCTCATATTATTTCAACACTTTGAATAAGAAACATTAGCTTACTAGATCCTTATACAGACAAAAAGAGAGCTATAGATTTAGCTGACGCTACACCGAAGACTTATGCTTAGATAAAGAAAGAACCCTGTCCCATGCTCTAACTCCATCCTAATCCTCATCCCCTTTCAGTTACCCCAGATCTTCAGCGTGGGATATATCTGTGGGACAGACATTCCATGCAGTGCTGTGAACTGCAGAAAGCAGGAGAACCACCAAAACAGCAGATAATACAGCAAAAGAGGCCCACCCCTGCTCCGGATGGAGATGCCTGCATGCATCTTGCAGAACTACAACAAAACACTGGAAAACACTAGAGCTGAAATTTCTGTTTATAAAGCAAAGACTAATATCTTGGGAATACTTAGTTCCACTGCATAATCAAACTCATTGATTAGCAACATTAGAAACTTCATGTTAGTACTTGCTACCTGCCACTGCTCACAGTTAATGAACTTGAGAAAAAAAGGGGAAAAAAATCCCTGTTTTTCACGTGTCCATCATTCATGGAGGGCTCCTTTGTTGAAATATAGGCAAATGCATACAACTCAATGGTAAGTAAATGAGCACACAAGTTTCTTTTGACTCTCATTATGTGGGATTTGAATAGCAAACAGTGTGTGCATTGTGTACCTTGTCTATGTAAGAGCCCTGGGATGGCTGATGTGATCAGATGCACTCAGACTGCACAGACAATACAGAACAAGATTAATCCTGCAGATGTGCAACTGCCCTGCACTGTCCCTTCCAGCTCTTCAGACACTCATACTTGCTGCAGGGAGCTCTGATCGCTGCCACACAACATATTTTATACTCCCTCTCAGCACTAAAGGTAATTCTCAGAATTTCCATCTGGGGGATAGAATCAGATTCTGTGCAGAGAAGTGTTCAGTTATTATGATTTATGAAAGTGTTTTCAGAACTTGGATGCTGAATATTTTATCAACATAAACATCAAGTTCCTAAAAGAGTTGTTTGCTGCTTTCGAAAGTTTCACCCTCCAGCAGAAGAAAAAAATAGATGGCACACATCAAAAAGATGTTATCCATACTAAAAAGAAGACATTTTTTAATTTCCTGCCTGCCCCAAAAACCTGAATGATCGCACAACTAAACCACTTTCTTTATTTGCCTTAAAAATCTCTCTTAGATCACACTCTAATTTACATCAAAGTTCCCCTGTTTTTGCCTTGCCAAACTACAGCTTTTTTATCTTAAATGAATCATTTTTTCCTTGTAAGTTTAGGCCTAGAGCAATCATAAGGTTTCTAAATCATCTTCCCAAACAAATACTTAAATTTTTTTAATTGCGGTGTCTCTTACAAATTCTAATATAGAGATTCCTGATACAAAAGCTAAAGCAAACACAAGTAAATGTTTTGGTAGAATTGCTGCAGTAAACATTATAACTGCCCAGAATTTCAACCAGTTATCTACAATGAGTAAAATTCACAACACACATATATAAGCAAAGATGAGAACTTTTTTTGTCTTATAAAGATGTAAACAATCCTCAGAATAAATGGCTAAATTATACACCCACAGAAAAAAACAGAATGCCAAACTCAAAAGCTCACATGAAAGTTCAAATCTTGCTGTCTCAGGTATCAAAACTACTTAGTATGATTTTTTTCTTTTTTGTTTTACTTTTTTATTTGAGTAATTCTGTTTTCAATCTCAATTTTATGTATAGGTTTAAAAAACAAATCAAAGATGGCTACACAGAACAACATGAATTACCACTAGAAATTAAGGTCTTGGGCTCCAAGTTCATCAGTATTTAAAACCATAAGCAATAAAAATACTAATAAAAATCTAAGAATAAAAATTCCCACTAAAATAAGTAAGCATAAGCACCAAATTCATATCGTCCCATTTCTCATGGTTATCACTCCAAAGAACTGCCCTACAATCTGAGGCAAAATTGTAAATACAGATATGATCTAACCCAACCATGCATTTATCCATAGCTTCTCCTTGATTTTGAGTTTTCTTCTTCCTCCTTGTTTATATTTCCTTAAGCAGATTACAATTAAATCTCTACAGATTGCTGCTGAGTTCTCTGTAACTTCACAAAGTGTCAGCAAGATTCAACCTCCAGTAACAGAAAGTGCACTTAAGCTCTGCTTAGTTCAAAAGAAAGTAGAAAAAAAAGGCTTTAGAAGAAAATGTATTTATCAAGAGCGGAAAAAGAGTTATCTTTTGTTAAGGGTAATTTTTAAAATTGTATTTCCTTTCGTGAACCATAAATAACATGTAAGTTTTTTCTCACATTTCAGGTATATTTCAAAATGAGGTATTTTGATGTCAGAGAATTGAAACCCATATTCCTGTACCAGAGTTCCACTGAGCGTAACAAATTCCACTTTCACTGAGTGCATAGATAACAGAAGAATCACAGATGCATAAAAGGTGGCTGATGTAGGAGCTGATTAAAGTACAAAACATGTACAAATAAAGAGAAATGAGTCACTACCTTTCTTTTTGGAGTCTTTCTTTGTGCTGGTTTTAACAGCCACTTGAAGTTCTGTCTCAGTTGACATCCTATATCCTTAGTCCTCTTCACACAGATCCAGGATCTCGGTCAGGCTCATTTAGAACGTCTCTCCAAGAGAATAATTTAGCCTTTCAGATACTATAACCCAAACAGTTCATCTCATTCACTCCTTTCGAGTGCTGTTAAGGAAGGAAACAAAAAGGAACAGTCATTTTCTGAGTTTAAAACATAAAAGGAAAAAAAAAAGGCAAACCATTGCAAGTTTACTGAAGAAGAAACATAAAATTCTTCATCTACAGAGGCAATTGTCCATAATTTTGGATGCCTAAACACAGTTATCTCTGACTAGCCTCAAACATCTACATTTTAGATGTTTTGGCATATCTGTTATGTCTTAACAGGCTAGAGACACTACTTAGGATGTACAGAAGACCAGTAGTTCTGGACCAGCAGCTGGAGGACAAAGATTATGATCTCAGAAGTAGTTTGAAACGTCACCAAAAGCAAAAAATTCTGCAAGGATTCAATTCTTAAATGCGACAATTCCAAGGTATAAACATACTGCCAGATAGCAAGTTCAGATTTTTACTCCAGTGCTCTTTCAGCGCCTTCATTCTCTACTTGAACAAAGACAAATGAAAAATGTATTCACTGCTCATGCTGAGAACATCATACTTTGCCACTCCTCTTGCTTATGGTAATGTTTCCAGTATAAAAGAATCTGTCTCCACGCAAACAAAGCTGTAATTTTTAACACCCATCTAGTAATCTTTCTTGTAAAGAACTCTGAGAATTGCTAATTAAACCTATGAAATATAAATGGGATAAGGGCAAAAAGATAACATTTAGAGAGCAAGATACAGTTTTACATAATACGTGTTTGTTGGGGAGATACAAAAATACACCAGCTGTGAACCCACAGCAGAAATGTGCTGGAGCAGTATGAGGGAGGCAGGACTGGGGATGGCAAAGATCACACAAAGAATAAACATCTAAGCAAAAAATTACTCCAATTCTTACTGCTGGTCCTTCTTGCTTTGAAGGATGACCCACCTACTCCAGCCAGTCTGTCGAGGGCAGAGGACCATACCATCCTGGAGCCATTTGTCATGATGTTCCCTCACCAAATGGATCTTCTTATTGCCCTTTCTTTTTGTGAGAAAGTTCTCATTATTAGCACAATTACAGTGAAGTCCATCTGGCCTGTCTGAACAGCTGCCCACTTATTAAATAAGCATTTAATAAAGATATTAACCCAGCATATCAGCTGGTTAGCTGGCCAAAGATTAACTGCAGTTAGTTATTTACTAGTGTCCCTTCTTTGTCATTTAAGAAAGTAACAGACTGCAAACACTGAAATAATTTTGACAGTTTAAATCACTTTTCACAGTGAGGGCTGTGAAGCCACCAGTACTTTCAAATCCAGGCTCTTTCAACATTTTAAAATGCTTCAGTAACATTACACTGCCATGCACCGTCTGAAGTGATTTAATATTGCTGAAGTGTGTCAGGGGCTTTCTTTAATAAGCTCTTCAAGTCTGTCTGTGTATTATAGAATATTCAAAGATAGCTTTTCAAAATCTGCTGAACTGATTTTTAAGTACAAAATTCCCTGTTCCTCCTCTATGGGATCTGAATAAATGCCGAATAGCAAAAAGGAGGAAAAATAAAGCAACGTACAAATTGGAGTCGCAGTGGTTGCCAAATACACCTTCTTGGTGTAATAGACCCAAATAAACTAACAGCATTTTGATTAACATTCTTAGTTAGGAAAACATCAGAAAAGGACAAAGCAAATGAAGGCTGATCACAGAGGGAAAAGGAATAACAGCTCCAGAAGTGACACTTCCAGGATCTGAAGTGCTCTTTGGCCAGGTCCATGGACAGGGAGATGACACTTCCCAAGCACAGGCACGATGGGCCCCAGCACAGCTCAGAGCTGTGCTGTGAGGGAACTCTCTCACCCGGCTGCAGACAGAGCTGCTCTTCGCTTACGCCTCAAATCCCCCCACAAACAGGGAGAGAAGCGCGGCAGAGAACAGATGTCCCTTGCAACCCCCCATCTCCTTCCCCTCCCCCTGCATGCAACCCAATTTAATAATATTTAGTTTTACAGCACAGTAGGGATGCATCAGCCTTTACAGCTCAATGGCACTTACTTAAAGCATCTCTCAAGTCACAGCTGGATTGACAGTTTATTTTTTGAGAATTTGGATTTATATTTACCTAAAGGTTAACTACATAACTCTACATGAACCAATTCACAAAAGGAAAATATTTATGACAGGTCCATTTATTAAAAAAGATAAATTCAAAAGAAATACAAAATACCACTAGGGTCCATAGTTAAGCAAGTTTTAACGTCTTAGAAGACTGTTGTGGGTACAAAGCATCAGGAATGTCATCTGTTGTCAGCTCCTTCCAACAGGAAATAGTAGCATCTGAATGGCACTGAATAATTTAAAGTAACAACATAGGACTGCTATCTCATTTGAAACTCTCCAGAAAAGCTATATCCCCTCGTGGCTATCCTACTGAGTAATATTTTTTAAAATAAATGCATGTCTATTTTTGGACAGGTTCACATATTGATTTGCTTTCAAACCTAATCAGGTCATACTCTCGCAGGCTCATAGATCCTTGAATAAAGTAATAGGTATCTTTGTAAAGGAGCACATAAACATCTGTCAGATGCAAGCTATAGTTCAAACTGAATTTGCTACAGAGACAATTCCTCCAAAAGTATAGGTCTTTATGTAAGCCACATTAGTAAACTTCCATGCACTGTCCATATTTCAGCCGTTTATTACCCAGATGAGAATGGCAGTCAATCTGCTCTTCACTGCAACAGCTTTTATTGTCTCCTCCAATCTAGGTCACCGTTGTTAAACACTACAGTCTCCCAACTGTGGGAAGTACTGCAGCATGTGTTTTATCAATGAGATGCTATTTTCTTTGATCAGTTCTGCCACATTTCTCTCCCTGCTCTAAACACAAAATTTTGTTAGCTGAGTTTCCAAAAAAAAAAAATCCATCATCTTACACGTATCCACTCTAACGATCTTCTTGTGTGCCTTGTTACTGCTCTGGCTATTACAATGTTATGTGCATGCCTCAGCTTTTCCTAAAGAGGATTCAGAGCTCTTAATTTTAACAAAATACTGACATTTTCTGTGGCCTTATTAAGTGGCTACAGCAGGAACACAATCAGCGCATTCTGGAATTAACTGGCTTTTAATTCCAAGAGAAGTCTTAAGCCTGTGTTCTCTATTACTCCTACGCCAGCATGAAACCTAAAGCCTCAGTGAAAAAATATTTCCATAAATTCTCTGCAGTTAGGATTAACACAGGTTGGACCCTTTATGTGTGGGGAAAGTAGTCCCATGCTCCACTTGCCTCCCCCATGCATTTGTAAAACAACGACTTCTGTCAAATCACTTGTCTTTTCCACCAGGCTTGAGCAGGCTCATGAAGGCATTATCAGGAGACTTCCCTGGTCCAAGTTACGAAAGAGGTCAGACCAGACCATCATAATACTTCCCCTCTGGCTTTAAAATACATGACTTAATTAATTTTCTTCAGGGCTTCAAAACTTAAGAAGTTGCCTCCCCTGAAACCAGTTTCCATCTGCTTATGTAAAAGAAAAGCAGTCTTAGAGAGGATTTGTAACTAAGCCCTGGCATTCTCTAGGTATTTAAGTTTTCCACAGCCCCAAAGTGGGATTTGACAAGAGGACAGTACCTCCCAAATGCTGGTTTGACAAAACAAAAGCCGTGCTACCATCCTTAGCTCTTGGCTTTTATGGCTCTGAAGTCCTGAAAACAATTTTTTTTCCTTCAAAGTACCCAATATAATCATGTTGATGCCATAGTTTTGCAAGTGTTCAACAAAGCCCAACATACTGAAAGGGCAAAATGTAAGTGACAAAATTATTTTAAAAGTATGTGATTCTGGAAAACTAAAACCAGTTGAAGCATGAAGGACTGCAATCCAGGGAGAAAATGTTACTCATTCACTTCTCATCTGACCACAAAGCCTAACGCAGAGAACTGCAGTGGGACCACACACGAATAGACGATGGAAAACCCATCCTTGCCATCAGTGCTCTTTCTACCCTCCAGGGAGAGAAGGCCACGAATTCTCTGATGCTGCTCACACTATTTTGTACTCATCAGCTCATTTCCCCAATGGTCAAGGCTCGGGAACATGAGAGTATTCATCTGTTACAGCAGGCACTACACTAATTCCAAACAGAAACCCAAGGGACTGATCCAAACCTCACTGATATACTGCAGTTAATAAGGCCTGTAAGTGAGAACCAGAAAAAGAGGAAGATGAGGTAAAAGAGAGAGCTTAAGATAGTGACACAGAGGAGAAAATGAGAAGGAAACAAAAGAAAACAGGGAAGCTGTCTCTGTGACACTTCGTTACAGCAAATTCTATAATGTGCTTAGCAGCAAAATCTAAGCCAAACCATGCATTAAAATTCTGGCTACCCTGGAACAGAAAACAATCTCTGTTAGGCTGCTGCATGGGCCAGTCCTCTCCTCCAGTTTTGCCATTTACCCACAGAACAGCACAATGCACTGGTTCTAGTGACAAAGTCAAATGACTCTCTCTCCCTGCTCTTTCCTGCCATTTCTTTACTGGTATTTCTGCAGCCTCTAAAGACGGAAGGAATCTTACTGTTCACGTGCACAAACTGAGATTCTACAAAAAAATTCACTCCCTCAGCAGATATGGAAAGCCAAGTGCCCTGTTTAACTCCTCTAATTCCTCTTGCAAACTACAGACCCTCCTCTGGAACTCAGCATCCTGCTTCTCCCTCCATCTCCCTAAGTTACACAGCCTGCAAAGACTCACAACTGCCTCCATAGCTCATACTTAGTTTTGTTTGCTCTAGAGCATTTACCTTCTCACTTCTGATTTTCTATATATTAAGACACAGGAAGGAGATTTAAGTGCTTTATTATGTTTTCTGTACTGCGTCTGTAGTGTCTTCCAGAACAACACTTCCAAATAACCCTTTTTAATTCTTCTAACATCAGAAAACAACTTAGTACTCAAAACACAGCATTTAATTTCCCTTTGCATTTAGTTGCTGTAGTTGACTGTATTCATAAAATACTTCTCTTATCTGCTGAAAACAAGAAGCTCTTTTTTTAAAAAACCCTACATG